AAATCAACACACACACACACACACATATTTATTTATTTAAAGAGAGAGAAAGAGAACAGAGCTGAGATTTAGGAAGTGGGAAGTGGGACAGGGTGAGAGGTTGAGAAGGGCGGGTGAGGAAGAGCTCAGAGGCGGCTGCGGGGGAGACGGGCGAGATGGAAACATCTGGGGGAGCTCCTTGCAACTGTTGAGCGGCCCACGAGCTGGCCCCGGTCGGGACTTTGTGAGAACCCCGAGGAGAGGCTGAGAAGCAGCCCAGTGGACTCGCAGGCCTCTCCCTGGAAGAGAGATGGGTCGTGACCGCCAAGGGCACAAGATGGCCTCAGTCTGCTGAGGGCTGGGGCCGTTTAGCGCCCGTCCACATTCTCGCATCATTTACCAACAAACACGGCGGCTCCCAGGTCGGGCTGTGGCGCCATCTCCCCATTTCCAGAGACACATGGGCACGTGAGCAGGGACACATGCGATGGACCTCGGGGGCCTGGCTCACGGGGGATTTTGCAAGTCTCTGGAGAGCCAGAGGGCGGAGGGTGGGGGTCCCCTCTGATGGTTTCCAGCCACAGAAAATTTCCTCCGATCTGGAGGAAGCGGGAGTTCTTCTTTCAGAACACCAAGGTCATCTTTGCTCACCGGTGACTAAGAGTTGCTGAGGCTGTGGGTGTAGCCAACGCTTAAATAGCAGACCTGTTGTCTTCCGGCGAGAGAGACACCTGGCTGGGACACAAGACAGGAGCATGGCCGGCCTGCAGACCCCGCTTCTGGCTGCCCTCCTGCTCCTTGCTCTGGCTCCTCAAGCAACCGAAGCAGGTGAGGCTGGGGAGAGGGAGGGCTCCCTGCAGAAGCCTGGGTTGCACCCTGGGCATCTTCCTCGTGGAGTGGAAAGACATGGGACTTAGGGCAGACACCCCAGTCTGCCGCTGGCTCTTGAACTCGTCCCATTGCTTCTCTGGGCCTCCGCTTACACATCTGTTAAATGGGTTGTCTTGGAGGCTTGAGTGCAGAATCGGTCTAGCAAGGGTTGGGGGGTGTGGTAGGCATGGCCCGGGGTCCTCTACTCCAGAGAACTGGAGCATAGGGCCCTTGGGGTGTGGAGAAGGCCCGCTGAAGACGGACGCCTGGGGTGGAGGACAGGAGCTGGGGCCTGGGACATTCCCATGGAAAGGTAGCTGGCCCTGCCTCCCTCCTCCCCATTTTTGCTCCAGAACCTGCTCTGGGATCCTGACTTCTTTTTTTCTTTTTTAAATTTTTCTTTTTTTAAAAAAAATTTATTTCAGAGAGGGAGAGGGAGAGGGAGAGGGAGTTCAATCCCACAGTAGGGGGCATACAGGAGGCAGCCAATCGATGTTTCTTCGCCGGGGATCCTGTTTTTTTTTCACGCCAATGTACCTGCTCCCGCCCTGTGTGGGTGGGGGAGGAGCACATGGGATCCTGTTTTTTTCACGCCAATGTACTTGCTCCCGCCCTGTGTGGGTGGGGGAGGAGCACTGGACGGAGTCGGGCAGCGAGGACAGTGCTGCTCAGGGATGGGGTTCCTGTGCGTCCCCTGCCTTAGAGGCCCCCAGGGCCGCGCTGTTATTACCGCCTCGGTCAGGGGAGGAAGTTGGGCCTCAGAGACGTTCAGTGACTTCCCTCAGCGGCCGGTGACTCAGGGCAGAGTGGGCCTCGAACCTTGTCTCCAAGGTCGTGCTGTGCGACTGGGGCAAGTCCTCCCCCTCTCTGGACTCAGCTCTCCACGGAGGGGTGGGCATGGCTGTGCACTGAGCCGGCTTCTGCATTCCCCGGGTCCGCACTGCCCGCCTGGCTCAGCAGAGCTGGTGGACAGCACCCACGGCTCCCGGGTGAGGCTGGCGCCCACGGGGACCTCGCCTTGAAGAGCAAGACCCCTGCTCAGAGGCTCTGGGTTCCGCCTGGAAGCGTAGGGCATCGTGGATGCTCAGCTGTTCCGCATCCCTCCCCTTGAGCTGACCCACCTGGAGTAATGATGTTGGGCCCTTCGTGGCTTCTCAGAGGCCCAAGATCGGGGACATTGAGGGCCCAGAATCCCCTGGACACCGACCTTCCACATGAGAACAGAAAAGCTGGGACAGAGGCCGGGGCGGGGAGGCTTCCCTGTGCCCAGCCTGTGTCCCTCTGAGCGCCCCTCTGCCCCAGGCCCTTACGGAGCCAACGTGGAGGACAGCGTCTGCTGCCGGGACTACGCCCGCCGCCCGCTGCCCCCGCGCCTGGTGAAGTATTACTACTGGACCTCAGACTCGTGCCGGAGGCCTGGCGTCGTGTGAGTGGGGCGCCGGGGAGGCAGGGACCCCGATGGATGTGGCCCAGGGGCTGGTGGGCGGGGAATGCAGCTGGGCATTTGTGGACGGGCTGGAGTCGGTGGCTCAGCCCAGGCTTGGGCGTGCCAAGAGAGGAAGTCATGTGGTCATTCAAGAAATATGATGGGGCTCTGCTATGTGCCAGGCAGCGTGCCAGGCTCTGAGGCTGCAGAGCTGAAGGAGCAGGTGCCCCCACCCCGCGGGCATGGGGGTGTAGGCAGTGTAGAAGCTATAGGACATGGGGTACAGGGTAGCTGGTGGGTGGAGCCAAGGAGGATGCTCTTATCAGCAACGTCTTGGACCCTCCCCAAGGCAGCCGATCTTCCCAGAACAGTATGAAGCGCTCACACTCATGAGTGTTCGGCCTGGGCCAGGCCCTGTGACCGCATGGCGTCCTTGACCCTCACAACAACCCTGCGGGGCGGTGCGCGTATCCCCACTTTATAGATGGAGCAACAGGCTCGGGGGGTGACTTGCTCACCGTGGCCCAGGCTGAGCCAAGATTCCCGGGTCCATGTTCAGTCCTGAGCCTCACTTACCCCATCAGGATCCCCAAATGACCACCTTCGTTTATTTTTGTGGATCGCATTTGTAGAGAGTGCTCGCTGAGTGCTAGGCACGGCTATTAACACTTTATAGATAGTAACTCATTTAATCCTTGAAACAACCGTATGTGGGAGGTGCTGTGATGATCCCCTTTTCACAGGCGGGAAAAGGGGCACAGAGAGGTTCCTGGGCCTCCTGAGCACCACAGGGCGCAGCCGCAGTAAGTGGGAAGTGTGATGCTGGCATATGTGCTCAAGAAAAGGCAGCACACGCGTGATCTTTGGACTTCCAGGTGGAGGAATGCAGCTTGACTGGGGGGCGGGGGGAGGTGTGAGATTGGGGGCTGAACCTTGCCCACAATCCCACGGGAGGCGGGGCAGGCTGCCCCCAGGGCCAAGACAAACATCGCAGCCTTCTTTGTTCTGCCTGCTCATTGCTGGTCTGTGGGATGGGGCAGGGCAGGGAAGTGGGGGAGCTAGGAGCTCCCCGGCCCCACGGACAGCCTCCTTTTAAAGTCATATTTTAATTCTATTGGAATCAAGTTATTGGTAACTTGAGAGCAAATAAGCTAAAAATGAGAAAGTAGGGGTTTGAGGTCTTTAATCTGAAGACCAATCCCAGAAATATGACTTATCTACATCACTTTATTTTATTTATCTATTTATTTTTATTTAAATTATTTATCGTTTAAAGGATAATGTAAGTCTCCTTTGCCCCCATTGACTTCTCCCCAGATGCCCCCACCCCCCGACAGGCTCCTCTTGAAAGTCAGGAAGGAAGTCCTGGGCTGAAGGATATCCTACCAACAATGGTGGGGGCAGAGTGCCCGGGGGCCCAGCGTGGTGTTTGCGGCGGCTGGGCCAGGGTGGGAGGCTTTGCCCGCAATTGCAGTGTGATGCTGGGCCAGTGTTCACCTCTCTGTGCCTTGGGCCTCTCAGGGGGGCCTGGGTGGGGACACTCACCAGAGACACTGCCCCTAGAATCCAGCTCATGGCGAGCACGGTGAGGCCGAGCTTACCAGCTCCGGCACTCGGGCAAGTTGCTTTGCCTCACTCCCCGCAGCTAGGAAGTGGATAGAATAATCTGACCTCATAGGATTGCTGTAAGGGTGTATTAAGAAAATTACTGTTAAGAATTCAGGCCAGCCCTAGCCGGTTTGGCTCAGTGGATAGAGAGTTGGCCTGTGGACTGAAGGGTCCCAGGTTTGATTCCAGTCAGGGGCACATGCCCGGGGTTGTAGGCTTGATCCCCAGTAGGGGGCATGCAGGAGGCAGCCGATCAATGATCCTCTCTCATCATTGATGTTTCTCCCTCTCCCATCCACTCTGAAGTCAATAAAAATATATTTTTAGAAAAGAATTCAGGCCAGCACCTGGCACAGTTATATAGGCCCTACCATCCGCTGTGCATCTAGTTTATATTAACTCACCAAATCTCATCAGAATCCTATGAGGTTGGACCACGGTAATCATCCCTATTTTACAGACGTGCAAACTGAGGCTCAGAGAAGTTAAAGGACTTGCTAACCAGTCACAGGGCTAGGATTTTAACCCAGATAAAGTGGCTCCAAAGTTCACGCTCTTGGCCCCTGCCCAATGCTCTCTCTCCCAAGGCAATGTTTGCAGTGACCATGAGACTCCAGGGCATTCGGCTCCCTGGTCTGACCGGGCACTCAAGGCTGAGGCAGGGACTACCTGGGAAGTTCTGATGCTCACCCCGCTCCTCCTTAAGAAATGTGTTTGCATACAGCAGGTGGCTCATAAATGCTAAGCTGCTCTATATAACGAACTATAGAAATGATCCCTGAAAGTATAGTCTTTAAGCTGCTCTATATAGAAGGCATCTCTACATACAGTAGGTGACTCATAAGTGCCAAGCCTTCCGGGTGGGATGTGGCGTCCTCCCTGCATGCCTCATTGTCCCCCCTGGCATCTCCTCTTTCCAGCTTGCGAACCATCAAGGACCGGGAGATCTGTGCTGACCCCAGGGTACACTGGGTGAAGAAGATTCTCCAGAACCTGGACTAATGAGGAAGGGTCCTGCCCCGGTGACCGTGGCCTTGGCTCCTCCAGGAAGGCTCACGGAGCCCTACCTTCCGGCCATGACAGCTGCGCCCCAGCCAGTGACTCTGTCTGTAACCCCCGATCTCCATCTCTACTCTCATCCCCCCTCTTACCCCTCCAACCCAGCCTCTGCCCCACTGTAGCCAGTGGGCCCACAATTCTGGCCAGTCACTCCCCTGCTCAAATCCCTCCCATGGCTCCCCATTGCCCTAGGCTGAGGTCAGAGCGCCCGAGCTTGGCACCAGGCCCTCTGGATCCTGGCCGCAACTCCGTCTCCAGCCCCATCTCACATCCCTTCATGCACGTTGGATTCCAAACCAGCGCCAATTACATTCCTACTTCCCGGCCGTGGCCTGTGCTCCCTAACACCCAGGATGTCTCCCCATCCCTGCACAGCCCCACCAGCCCTCCAAGGCGTAGCTCAGACTAAGCAGCCAGTAATTGAGTTTCAATTATTTTATTTTTTTCTCTTTGATGCTAGGTTGGCAGAGTCCGTGTCTGTCACTTTCTACCAAAGAGTCCTAAGTGACTCACTATTTCTGAGTAATTGATTTCATTTTTTAGACGTCCACTGGCCCTCTGCCCTTCTTAACAGCCCTGGTTACAGTCTGCCCAGAATCCTTGCTCGGCTGGACCAAGGTCCACGCCCGAGTTACTTTGTCTCCTGGCCTCCAGGACCGAGCACAGGGCCTGGCTCCGAATCAGGACCCAGCAGACTGAATCCATAAAAGTAAGGCCCCTCTCCCGCCCCCAAAGGCCCTCACACGTCAATGCCGTCAATGCCAAGGCCACAGCTCATCCGGGGAGCTGGGTCCCTTGTGAAGCCTTTAATTTGCCCAGGTTCGCCTTTCTTTCCCCATTTTACCTCTGTGCTGGGCTCTTTGCCCTTCCTGCTTCCCTCGGGTTTTTACTGTTCCTCCAACCTCCAAAACCCAGGCCTGACCTTTTCAGAGACCCTGACTTTCCCTTCCTGTTTCCCCAAATAGCTGATGATGGAATTCACGCTATGGTGTGAATGACTACCCTTCGTTTGGTATTTAACTCGAGTTAAATTTGTATATGAGAAGAAGGCAGCCCGGCCAGTGTAGGTCAGTGGTCGAACATTGACCTATGAATCAGGAGGTCACCGTTCAATTCCCGATCAGGGCACATGCCCAGGATTTGGGCTCGATCCCCAGTGTGGGGCGTGCAGGAGGCAGCGGATCAAGATTCTCTCTCATCATTGATGTTTGTATCTCTCTCCCTCTGCCTTCCTCTTTGAAATCAATAAAAATATATTTTAAGACAAGAAGGCAAATGCTTAAGAGGCCGTGTGGATGATTGGGAGGATTTTAGGAGCTGGGGGGAAGGGGACAAACAGGCAGGGCCCTGGGAGTGGGAGGTGGGGTACAGTTAAGTGGAAAACCCTTGGGTGGAGGTCACCCTCTGGTGGCTGGGGCCAGGCTAAGGACTGGGACGGGGTTAGTACACACTCCTCTTCCCTCGTGTCCACCGGAGTACTTGTCTGCAGGGCAGGAGAAGCATCCGGAAGGGTACATGTCACAGATCCAGGCAGCGGGAACTCTCACTGGCTGGGTGTCCGGAGCAAGTTGCTTTGTCCCGCTGTTTCCACCTCTGAGAACAGGGGGCATAAGAGCAGATGTCAGTGCCTGTGGCTGCGAGAATCAATGAGCCGAGGAGACTCAGCAGCCCAGTCACAACACGGGCGGGACTGGGAGAGGCGCTTCCTCAGGGAGGACATGCAAATGTCAATAAACTCACGGAAAGATGCTCAACATGGGATGCCACCTCACACCCATTAGGATGGCTATTATTAAAAAAAAAAAAAAAAAGCAAGGCTGCCAGGGTTCTTGTCCGGCATTAAGAAGGGTTCAGCTACCTGGAGAAGGCTGTGCGTAGATTAATAAATAGGAGTCCAGAGACGAAGCATAATTTCGAAAGGCATTTGGGGGTCAGAGGAGCTCAGCTAAAGGAGCTAAGTTCTGGGCAGTGACGGCGAACCTTTTGAGCTCGGCGTGTCAGCATTTTGAAAAACCCTAACTTAACTCTGGTGCCGTGTCACATATAGAAATTTTTT